TCTTAATTTGCCTTCTCATCGTTTACCAGTTGTATGGTTAAATTATTTTCTATAACGGGTCCAGTTTTAAAGTTCTTTTGTCAAGTGGGATTTTTGTAAAGTTTTCTATCGTCTAAAGAGTTCTTTACCAAAATTCCACATCAGATTGATGCAGCTCCAAAATGTCCTGTCTGGGACCCAACTGTTATGTCAAAAGTATTTAAAGATCATATTTCTTATACCCTGCTGAGTCGGCCTTTGCCAAAAATATAGCTTTCATGCTTTAAAATGTGGAGTCTATAATTTCGCAGTAATCTGTGCCCATGTTGTGACGCCATGAGGCATATAAATCTCAGATAGGTTTGATACAGCATATATATGTAGTGCATGAACTCAATTTCGTGTAATATGATGAAATAATGGCAGCTGAATTTTCCCACAATGATATGAATAGGCCTTACGCTTCCACTGAATTCCACCTAGCCTTGCTTCCCAAAGGTATTCTCATACAGACTGGACTAAATTGCACTTTCCACCTTGCCTAGGTCTCATCAGCACCCCTAGCTGGACTCGAACCCGGGTTGTGGTAGTACAGCGTATAGTCTTGATACATTATCCACTACGCCACACTTTCGTGGGGGCACTTAGGCAACAGGGCAGACGTGAATTTAAAGGAAGGCCAGGCCTTTGTCAAATCAATTTTTGTCGTGGTATTGTCGATCAAGCAGTCTTTTCTCCTAATTATAATCGACTACATTACTATGAAAACGTTTCCAGCCTACTGTTAGATAATATATTTGAGATTTATTCATGCCCTGTTTGTTGAAGGTGATGACGCAATAATATTAAAAATTAAATGGAGACATGAGGCATACTCTTTTATTGAGGAAAAATTCAGCGACTTTTCCTCCGTGACCTTAAAAGAAATAGGGTTAATACACATCATATAACTATTTGTGATCTACTGAAAGTCTAGCAACCTACTCATAAACAAAATGAGGTTTTTGCCTGTTTTTTACTTTTATTTGCAATTGTATATTCCAGCCTTGTTATTCTGGATATAGGTCCTGTTACACTAATAAATCTCGTTCAACTAAGAGGGTATAATTTTTATAATTTCTCCATATATCATATACAAAAATAACACAATTGCACGCTTATTCTATTATGAAGTATAACGTGGGTCACCTTTATCTGTATTAGAGCCCCACTAATTAATTCTTTGTATTTCATTATTATCGGGCATTTTCTCTATATTCATGCATTCTTCTGTTCAGTTTTTACTTTTATTTTAATCTCATAAAATACTCCGACTTTTTCTTCCTTCATTCCGTCTCTATTTTTGTTCTCAGAGGGCCTTCAAACGTACGCTCAGGCCTCGATTACGTACCATGTTAAGGTTCTATGCTCAGATGGGTTTCTATCGAAAGACCGCATTTTTCAGCTTAATGTATAAACAAGATGCTATTTCTCGGAAGCGGCGTCCCATGGTCAATCCTATCACTCTTCCATCGACCGCCCAAACAGCCATAGTAAGTTCGATTTCCAGTATATCCAACCCAAAGACTGCTATCCTAAACGTTACGGACGGCCCGTCTCAGAGTGATTCAAGTGCAACTACGACCACATTTTCCGCGACCAAGGAGAATGCTGTAGAGGTTGATGAAACCAATGAGGTTAAGCCTCTAGCCGACAAAACTGGCGTTCGCCAAAATATTGGTCTTGGTCTCGGTTTACTTGATGATGCGTCAACTAGCGACGAGGATCGTGATCTGGAATCGGATCGCTACGTGTCAATGCATACTCCATTATCAGCTAACCTGGACTGGGCTGCCCATGTATATGCACGCGGGAGTGAATTCGGCCATACATTGGGCCCTATGCCGAGTTTTCCGGGAGGTGGCCTTTTTCGAATTGATAGTAACTCGCGAACCGGGTGTACTGCTTTTGAGGAGTGGACAGGCCATTCAGTTCTGACTGCAAGCACCGACCAGGCGAGTGTGGACGATGGAATTGCTAACTCTCTGCTTGCCTCTTCTTCCTCGTCCTCTCATTCGCATAGCCTGGAACAGGTTAGCCAGCAATTGCTTTGTCTTAATTTATTGATGTATTACTCAGCCAATCTTCGTGCTTGGCTGCGCATTTTTGCTATTTCCTTAAGGCATTGTTTTCTTCAGATAAATGGGGCAAGATGTACAATACTTTTCGTCAGCCTATCATATCTCTTCTCGATATAAAAATTTAAAAGAAGCAAAAATAAGACTACGTATGAAGAGCAAGATGCTATGGCCTCTGTTTTGATCGCTTTGATGTATATAGGTGATCTGATCTCGTTTTCGCAACTTGATCCTGCTATCAGGGCGACCTTATTAAGCTCACCTTGTCCGAAGTCCTTTGATCTGATAGTTATGATAAAACATGATGTCCGACCGTAGACTTGTAACATGCCCAGACGTTTCGCCGTTATCATTGTCAGTTTCTTCAATGAGTCTTGTCATTCTTAGCACCAAGCCACAACTCATCAAAAAGACAAGTTAAGTCAATCCCTTGACCAACTTTCTGTCGAACGGTTGTGCTATTACTCCTCTTTCTTTCATAGTACCTATTATCTCACTCCAGCCTCATCACAATTTATATTCAACTCCTCTGAGGGTGTGACCTTTTTTGGCACAATTGGTGTGGATCCATCACACATGCTGTTTACCTTGCCCCCTCCCCTTTCTCTCGATTTACTGATCCGAATCTACCTTATTGGCTTCTGCATTTGTTTTTTATCTTTCTCATTGGCCGATTT